ATAAAACATGTTAATTTATTGTATTTATTCACTAATTCATTCATTCACATTTGTTCATACTATTAATTACTCATTAATTTAAAATATTTGCTCTTTCATTTAATCAGTCAATCCAATCAGTCATTCATTCAAGAATATTTGTTCATGCATTTGATTCCATTCATTGAAATCATTTAGTTTAATCATTCATTTATTTGAAAATACTTGTTCATTCATTTTATTTTATTTATTCTTTTTAGTTTATTCATTCTTTTAAAACAACTCATTGATAATCATTTATTCATTTAAAATTGTTTTTAATTCATTCATTCAAAACATTTAGTTTAATCACTTATTTGAAAATATTTCTTCATTAATTTTAATTAATTCAACTATATTTGTGCATTCATTTTATTTCATTCAGTCACTTAAAACATTATATTTAATCAGTCATTCAAAACTATTGTTCATTCATTCATTCACTCGCTCATTGTTTAAAAAAAATATTTGTTCATTTATTTCAATAATTAAACTATTTCATTATAATCATTCATTCTTTAAAAAAATAATTTCAGTGTTCATTCATTTTCAATGTTTTCATTTGAATTATTCCTTAGTTCGTTTAAAATATTTTCCCAATTATTATGTTTATTAATTTATTAATTCATTCAAGAATATTTGTTCATTCATTCAAGAGATTTCTTTGATTTAGTCATTCATTCATTGAAAATTACTATCGGACTGTGCCATCTAGAGTTTCATGCCAGAACTCTGTATTTGTCCATTCATTTTATTTACTAATTTATTCATTCTTCCATTCCAAACATTCATTCATTCATTCCAATGAGCTTTTTGCTGTTTTATTAAAAATGGCAGTCAGGAGAAGACATGAAGGTTGTAGGACGGGGTGATTTCAGAAATTAAGTTGAGGTTAAACTTCTGTCGCCTGCAGATAAGCACAAAATGCATCATGTCAGAACCGGCACAACCCAGCAGGCCACGTCTCCGACCACGTTTGTGTTTGTAAGAATAAATACTTCAATCCTTAGACATGCAGATGCTAAACAGATACTGTTTATTAGGTTTTTATTGGAAGAAACAGTTCAGCCAGAACTGCTGCTTTGATTGCAACCATAAAAAAATATATATTAAGCATCATTTAAATGTAGATCTCTACCAGCAAACAACACAACAACATGTGCGTTACAATTTTAAACTATCACTGGGCCAATAAATATGTAATTTAAGAGCTCACAGTGGACTGAGGGAAACATTTAGTGCCTCAGCAGCCAATATAAACCTGATACCATCAAAAGCATCAGTAGACGTTTATTACCGCATCCAAACTAACATGCAGCTCGTTTCCCCCCATTTCTCCATTAACCTGCAGACCAGAGGGGTTGAAATTAACCTTCAAATAGGAAAATATTCAGTTAGCCGCTGATCATATCAATAAACAGTTTCTGTTCAGGAGAGATTACGACATCTGGATGGCGTTAATGTGTCAGAAAGTGACTTTAAAGAGTCGTTAGGGATGTTAGCAGTGTGACAGCTAATAAACTCCACCTCTGCAATTTGTCCCATGGACGTCATTGAGGCGTAAATCTTTTCATATACTCACTTGTATTAGCCCATGTGAGATTTGGGTTCATAAATGTGTTTGCGTGTTCGTTTTATGTCCACTTGGAGTGTCACTGTCACTCTAAATTTTCATAGACTGAAAGTTACAATTGTAGAGAAATCTTTTATCTAATGAAGTGAACATATTGCAAAGGAAAGAAAATACGTTAATATAGACACACATTAATAATTATCACTTAAATGTCAACGATACTAAGAATCAATGAGCATCAAGTAAAAACACCACACAACGCTACAAACTAGCAATGACAAAACAAACAAACAAAAACAAAATCAGCAAACAGCAAAACAACAACAACAAAAAATCCTACATCAGTAACCGCATGAATGATTCATGCTGCAATGCATTTTCAAAAATATAATAATTTGTTCAGACTAGACCCCGACCGATATATCGTTTTGCCGATATTATCGGCCGCTATGAGCCTGTCGCTGATATATCGGTATCGGCGAATATGCCGCCGATATGAAAATGTTTTTTACGGAACATATAACGCAGATAAAGTGCTTGAAATGGTGTAATTACTTAGTTTGTCCAGCAGAGCGCGCTCCATTGTTTGCTACTGGCGGTCCTGATGAAACGCTTTAAAGCTTAGTCTATGGAAAACCATTGAAACTTTGAAAGGCCATATCTCCGTAACGGACCATAAGTGCCCTGCGAAGTGGACTTCACATGAAATTCCGCCATGATGAGAAGTGAATTTATATTTAGGGATGCACCGAATGTTCGGCAACCGAACCGAATAAGTGAAAAGACCGAATAAATTGTACCGAACAATGAAATGACGCGATCAAATAGCACACGTCAGCAGTGTGGAAGCATTTAAACTGTCGGAGAAAGACGCAAAAATCATTACAAGCACCGACAGTGAGAGACTGTTTAGGACTGCATCGCATGTCTTCAATGAGAAGAGGAAGGGGTGATTGTTGCTGGTTACTGTATGATGATTGAAATCGCGAAATGGTCTTAAACAACTATTAAATAAACTGTAAAACGTTATGTTTTCTAATACACGGGCACATTGCATGTATTCTGACAGCGCTGCACGAGCTCGCAGCAGATCTGCTTGTTAACCAGGGTTCAAAGTCCAAAGCGCAAGGAAAATCTGTGCTGATACATTTGTCAGTTGCTCAGTCACATTTTTATGAATTTTTACAAGGCATGTGAAAATGCGATACGTACGACGTATTCGTAATGAGACTCATTTATAAATCTGTTGTCAACAAAAATAAGCATTGAGGTCTTCCTGCGCGTTTCCACCAAAATTAAAGTTGAGAAAAAGCAAGAAATCTTTATCAACATTCATAGATGTTAGTATTGTAATTTTACTGTTGTTCTGTAAAATAAAATAAAAAGTAAGACAATAATAATGATAATAATCATTACAAAAGCTCTGTTTTAATACATTTATTATAACATTCACACATAGTGTTCAAATTAGGATCTGTAATATTTTCTAATGTTTTAAAAGAAGTCTCTTCTCAGCAAGGCTGCTTTTAATTGTACAGTAAACAAAAAAAAAAAAACTACATGCCTGATTCAAGAAGGGGGTCTATGGCCAAAAATTATTATTTTACTAACTTATTAATTTTAAGTTAAATTGTGCTTTGTTGGTATAGTGTCTGCTAGAATGTTAAAAATGTTCAGTGTTAAATATTTTTAAACTGTTGTTTTGTAATTGATTTTTTTTTTGAAAAGCAAGACAAAAGGGTAAAAAGCCCATTTTGGCTCTTTAATTTATGCAATGGTGAAAAAAAATTTGACAAAATACATGGGGAAAAAAACTAAAAATTTGTGTTGGGTATTCGGCCTTCGGCCCAGTGTTTAATTTTGTTCGGTTTCGGCTTCAGCCAAGAATTTTCATTT